TGTTGTCTGCTGTCTGAACAGTTGTCTGTTTCCATAAAAAAAATTTGTATCCGGAGCTATAATTGCAGTAATTTTTTTGCTGTTGAAGAACCGTCTTCCCAGTGAAGAAGCCATTTGCGCACTGCTCAAAGCCAGGAATTTTACATAAGCGCTCTCCAACATGATTGAGCGCAGGCGGTAGGCCATCTCAGTCAAGATATTGGTATTTGCTACCTCCTGTCACGGTTTTGATTGAATGTTAGATCATGTTTTCATTAGGCTCTTCTATAGGCCGAAATTACTCTCCATTCATCTGAGGTGCTCTGTGCCAAAAGACACGAAGTTCGCACTCTAAAATGGACCGGCACCCTCTGTTCCAAAAAAAATGCAAAACAATTGCTGTTGTACATAAAGAGAGGAATCTTTCAGGATATATTGAATCTCTGAGACTAGCTCCCGTTTGAACCTGGCCATGTTGGAGTGAGTCAAAGTGGGGCACCTGGCAAGCAACACAGTAAATGACTTCTTTACTTTACTTTTCTTTAATACTTCAGCTTTGAAAAGCGGTTACATTTGAAGCGCTGTGAATTGTTTTTGACTAAGCAGAAGTTCCTAATTCATCATAGAAGCCATTTGTAGAATAGCATGGGGCTCGCTTCCCATGCTTATATGTAATTACGTGAAAGAATATTCAAAGTTTGTATCTGAATTTTGCTTGCTGTCGTGAGAAAAGGCTTGGCAAGTGACACTGTAGCAACGAGGAAAAGTTTCCGCCTGAATGGAAGTTGGGGGAGACCGGATTCGAGCTGAAATGGCATGTTGAAACCCATGGAATAAAAGGGCTTCCTTTCGTCCATGTCAGTGCATTTTTCCAAACGTCGTATTGTACATTCGAAGGCTATCTCCGGCATGTGGATGGGAGTAACTGCCATTTCAGCTCGAATCTTGTCCTACAACTTCCATTCAGATTGAACCTTTTCTTCGTTGCTGAAATGACGATCGCCCAGCCATTTCTAACGACAGCTAGCAAAACTCAGTTACTAAATTATAAACTTTCCTTCACAATCGTAATTTTACCAAAAATTAATAATAGAAAAGCGCCAGGAATCAGCAAATCCTGGAAAAGTCTCTGAAATTTCAATAATATTACTTTGAAAAAGAGGACTCCCTTTAAAATGCATTGAATGAAAATTCAGTTTTGCCACGATCTTCTGGTTCTCTTGTAAAAAAAAAAATAGAAAAAACGGTATGACCAGTCGTCCATTGATGCCAACTGCATGAACTTACCTTTGAGTAGTTTGAGAAATATTAACTTTTTGAGGTATTATAAATAATATATTTGAATTTTTAAAGTGAGTTATGGGACACCCTGTATATGCAATAGTGCGCCTTCACCAAATGGACATAGCTAGTTGAGAAGTCCTGTGATTAAAATTTTTTTTTATTGACTTGTGTAAGTAGGCCAGTTTGTGTCCATGTGGCTATATTTGAATTCAAGGAAAAGGAACGAGACATAATTTATGAAGTAGGGAAAACAGAATTTAAGAAGTAAATGATGAAGCACATTCGATATTTGAAAATAAGGAAAAGCTAATGAAAACAAAAAATTAATTTCGGGACCCAGCCCATCTTTCACAGTGCAGACTTGCAACTGGAAATATTGTAATCTGTATGTGATTCACGCCCTTCATTCGAGTCGTTGTCCTTCTTCCGCTCCCCGAAAAAAATTCAACTGCGTCACATGCAGGGCTTCCGTGACATTTTCACTTCACTCATGCGAGTAGTCACACGTGACTGGCGTGACCATCATCTTCCGCCTCCCTAACTCTTCTCACTTTCTAGCTTCGCTCTCGGTTCGTTTCCGCTTTGCGTCCCACCAACCCGCGGTGAAGAGGGAGCAGAGCAATGCTATCTTCTGGGAGGGGTTCATACCCCCCACCCTCTCTTAGTTGCACCACTGGCAAACTATGCTCAAATTTCGCATTTCCCAAGGCCAATCAGATTCTGAATTTTTCATTGTTGACCATCGGTGTGCTTAAGAATGATGGCGATGAGAATGGCCCTTTTGGAAGCGAAGAAAATTCTCGAAATTCTTTTTTTTTTTTTTTAAGTCGCCGTTGCCATAGAACATTGAAAAAGGAATAACAACGTAAGTCCTCGTACGTTGTTATTCCTTATGATTCCTGATGTCCTGAGTGGAGATAAGTCTGCGGCATATTGAAAAGTACAAGGGAAGTTGACAAAATCTTGACACCTTCTATAACTGGTTCGATGTTAGGTGCAAATTTCGCCTCATCATCGTCACATGAGGAAAAGTTACATCCGAGCAAAAACCGCTTCCCAGAAATGCCGCCAGTCTGCTTTTCACTGCTTACTGTCATTGCATGTGATTCTTACATTCCGAAGCCTTGTCATCTTTTTTTTTATCGTTCAGCAGCGGACGGTGGAGTTGGAGAGGATCGATGCCAAAATGTTCAGGGTTACTGATGTCACACGTCCCGAGAAAGCATGCCTGAATTTCTATCGAGAAAGAAGAGATGGACGCGGGCAGAAATGGGTGGGTTAAGTGACTGTCATACTTGTAAAGTCATACTTCACGATGGGCACACGGGGGCCTTGTATACAGAACGGAATGGAACGGCTCCAACGCCCCGTTTCCTAATTCAGGGAAGCGCTACTTCATAATGAGCGAAAAGCACAGGCTTCCCGAAACACTCTTCGTGTTAAGAAACCTTTTTTTTGTTACAAGTTTTGTTGGTTTTCTCAAAATGATTTTCCTTTCTTTTTAGTCATCGTCATGTTTCTTGTAATAAAAAAAAACCCTGGTACTTTCATCAATTATCTACACTGGGATAATCAATGAGTATAAGCAAAATATCTGAGAATTTTAAATCGAATTCAGAGATATAGGGTAGATTTTTGAACAGAGCACTATCCGATAATGCAGCTTTATTCCAGGGAAAATACATATTTCCTGGAAATCAAGCTGCATTACCGGATAGTTTTCTGTTCAAAAATCCACATTATTTGTTTCATGGCACTGAAGCGAGAAGTCACACTTCGGGTTTGTTTTGGAACAATCTCACTCTATCATCAAACAAATAAGGAGAGTCGAAAGAGAAAATGGAGAACTTGTTGCTATGACTTTGAAAATTTGTTGCGTATTTTTCGCTGAATCTCAATTGATTTCAGGACTTCAGAATGGCCTGCATGTCATCATTTAGGTGGCTCGTATTGCTTCCCACTAATTTCCGCAAGCAAGTACACTCCGATTTCGGTAGTGTACTTGAACGTAAATTTCAATTGCATAAAGCCAATGCCCTTCTAGTGAAAATTAATTTCCACTGCTATTGAAATGAGTGCGCTCGCTGTAGACGGTGTTCATAAACCTCCCGAGGATTCAGTGCTCAAATATGCAGAAGAATCATGGACAGTCTACTGACTGAGTATGCCAAATTACGCACTGACACGGATCAGCCATAAGACACTTAGCCCATGACCTTTTCCATACACCTGCGTATTCTATCTACCTCGAGGAATTATCGCCGCCCCGGATCTTAAACGTGAATAGCATGAATAGAGGGGAAGTCGGGCATCGATTTACTTCGTCGGGACAGTTGCTCAACCCACCTGATGGTGAGTATCATTTCTTTCTTTCTGCCGTTCAATCGTAATTTTCCCCGCTTCATTTTGCTTGTAAAATATTTCGTCCTTTCTCGTGAGTGGTGGTCAGATGCTCATGATATTCGTTTTTGTCTGGTTGAAATGTTATGCGGTGATCCGCAGAATGAAGTTGCACGAACACCTCTACTGAGGTCTTCGCCCGCCATTGTTCAGCATCGAATGGTTCCCCTCTGCTGCCGCCCTCTCGTACAGCTTTCCCGGTTCAATGTTTTTTTGTAATTAGGAATTTATACGCGTTGGGCTTGTCAATTGTGCTAGTAAAACGTGCATATTAGGCGCAAAAACTGCTCTCTGGAAATGGATACCGACCCCGAACCAACTGATGGTGCAACTGCGCAGGCAAGTCTCGGGCTGGTTTTAACTCTGTGCTTGTTTATGTTAAGCGCTCTCCAGGTGCACATTAGGCCTATGGTTATTTCCCTCGTGGAGACTTGGCACATTTATAGGTAAGGGAGACCTTTTTATGGGTCTTTCGAATATGTCACGTACTTTGAGGTTCCATACCCTCTTGCCTCCATGAGTCATGCCCCACCGAGAATGGAATGGAAAGATAAAAGGAGTCAACGTTCATTTTTCCTTATTGAACTTTTAGCGCTTGACAAGAGGCATTCATAGCGTTGACTGGCAATACATCCCTGAAATGAAAGTAACTCACCAATCCTAAGGCATAAAATAGAGAAATGCAATGGGGAAATATCTTCTCTTGCTTCCATGGGACATGACCCAATATTTGAATGACCCTCTAAGCTATGCATACTGTAGCTTATGTCACTTATTCCCAAATAAATACCTCGCCAATCAACTGCTTTTTCACATATGGGTGTCTGGTGATTTAGCATTTTCTGGTATCCTAAAATTTGTGCTGTTAACTCAAGATACAACTTGAAAAAAGTATAGACCTATGTTCAGAACTTAGGGAAATATGAATTTCTACATTATCATAGGCCTCTTTTATGGGTGTATGCTCACATTTGACAAAGTCACAGTGCATTGCAGGGCTACAGAAGCCTTGAGTGACTGACCCCACAGGTCATTGTGGAAATGTTTTCATCAGGTAAAAAAGTGACTTTTTTAAATGCAGGAGGCATGTAACATGGCAGTAATTATACCTCAACCATTTTATGGTTGTGTTATAATTACTGTGCCTACTGGCTGTCAGCATGGATTACTCTGATTAGCTAGACTCACCTCTTTATGTATCTTTGATATCTTTACATAGTATTTAGGTTGGTATTATCTGACCTAGGGACCTGGTTAGGCTTATTCCAACTGGTTATGATTGGCCTATTCCAATCTAATCATTTCATTTATCTATGAACTTAAAATCTGTTCCTTGCATGATTTTACCCTTTTTCCATGACAAGGATGAGGCTCAAGAGGATGAAGAGGTGCCACCTGCTTCTGCTAGGCCAGATGAATATGAGACCAAACTGGTGAGCCTCACCAAGAGGCAAAGCCTCTCTACCTTTTAGGTACCGATGTTTGCCAACTTGCCATTAACATCTTCATGTGTATATTATTGTAGGAGAAGGACCGAAGCAAGCGGTTTGACTACCTCTTGCAGCAGACAGAAATCTTCACACATTTCTTATCAGGAAGTGGTAGAGACAAACCTCCATCATCTCCCTTAAAGGTCAGACCTGGTCGACCTAAGAAGGCAGAGAAGCGCATATCTGATGTTGGAGAGTATGTCCTCATTTGTGTGGGATTTTTTATGTTACTAGTTTTGTTGGTTTTCTCAAAATGATTTCCCTTTCTTTTTAGTCATCGTCATCGAATGACAGAACAGGAAGAGGATGAGGAGTTGTTGGCAGATTCCTCACAAGCTGGACCCACATTGACCCAATTTGATGCCTCCCCATTTTTTGTAAAAGGAGGAGAAATGAGAGATTATCAAGTTAGAGGTTTGAATTGGATGATCTCCCTTTATGAAAATGGAATCAATGGCATTCTTGCTGATGAGATGGGACTTGGGAAAACACTCCAAACCATTTCTTTGCTTGGGTGAGGATAATGAGACATGTGCAGCTGAGAGAAAACTATAGATCAGTTAATTGAATTGTGCTCTCTTTCCAGGTATATGAAACACTACCGTAACATCCCTGGACCTCATTTGGTTATTGTGCCTAAATCAACTTTGGCCAACTGGATGTCAGAATTCAAGCGATGGTGCCCAACACTTCGTGCTGTCTGTCTCATTGGGGATCAGGAAACTCGGGTAACTGTCATTGGTTGATATTCTTAGCTTTCAGTTGAATTAGTTCTCACTAATTAAAACTCAGTTTTGTCTTGGACAAGATGAAGTGTGAGGATGCAGTCAGTGATGGCAATTACTTGAAATTAGTTGTAAAAGCTAAAAATGAAGTAATCAAGAAGTAATAAAAAGTGGTATTGTAAGTTGATAAAATGACTGTCTTTCAGGTAATTTCCATTCAAGTTGACTACAGGTCATCATTTACCATTAGTTCCTTCAGCTTTGAGCACACATTGAAGCTGGATGGCATTTGTTATTGCCAGTGTTTCTCTTTGAGGTGCTTTTCTCTTAGATGATTCCTTGGATCAATCGCCTGGTTCTTTTTCTCAGGCAAATTTCATCCGTGAGACTTTGATGCCTGGAGAATGGGATGTATGTGTTACATCTTATGAAATGGCTATTCGGGAGAAATCTGTGTTCAAGAAGTTCAATTGGAGGTACTTGGTTATTGATGAGGCACATCGTATCAAGAATGAAAAGAGCAAGTTGAGTGAAATTGTGAGGGAGTTCAAGACTGCCAATCGGTTGCTTCTTACTGGAACTCCACTTCAAAATAATCTCCATGAACTATGGTCCCTGTTGAATTTCCTGCTGCCAGATGTCTTCAATTCTGCTGATGTAAGAGATCACTTTGGAATGAAAGTTCTGTATCTTTTGTGTCGTCGACTCTGAAATATGTTGTATTTCCAGGATTTTGATGCTTGGTTCAACACAAACACTTGCCTGGAAAACCAGACACTGGTTGAGCGACTGCACAAGGTCAGTGCATAACGTAGGAATTACCATATGTTTTCATTTGTTGTATTTCACACCTTTGCATATGTCTGGCATAATCTTCAGGTCCTACGTCCTTTCGTTCTTCGGAGGTTGAAGTCTGATGTGGAAAAAAGGTTGCCTCCAAAGAAGGAACTTAAAGTCTACGTGGGTCTCAGTGAAATGCAGCGTGAATGGTGATTGTTTGTGACATATGTCTGTTGTAATTGCTTAATAATTATGCATCAGAAGAGGGTCTTATAATCTCATATCTCCTCAAATATGTAGGTATACCAAGGTGTTGATGAAGGACATCGACATTGTGAATGGAGCAGGGAAGGTGGACAAGATGCGTCTACAGAACATCCTGATGCAGTTGAGAAAGTGTTGCAACCACCCATATCTCTTTGATGGAGCTGAGCCTGGACCTCCATTCACAACAGATTATCACTTGGTGGGGAGTTGTGGGAAAATGGTCCTCCTCGACAAACTCTTACCCCGTCTCCAGGAACAAGGCTCTCGAGTCTTGGTCTTTTCTCAAATGACTCGAATGCTGGACATTCTTGAGGACTATTGTTTGTGGAGAGGCTATAACTATTGCCGTTTAGATGGTCAAACATCTCATGAAGAAAGGCAAAAGCAGATAGATGCTTTCAATGCCCCAAAAAGTGAGAAGTTCCTGTTTATGCTGTCCACTCGTGCTGGTGGTCTTGGGATCAATCTGGCAACTGCTGATGTTGTCATTCTCTTTGACTCTGACTGGAACCCTCAAGTTGATCTTCAAGCAATGGTGAGGGATCATAAATTTTTGCATTCCTTCTGTTGTGAAGACTGTATCATACTGGTACTAATTATGACCTTGATTACACTTTCTCATTTGTGAGACTCCCTCATGAAAATTGTGTTCTCAAAGCAGTGTCTCTTCTTTGGAGATCTTTTTTTTGGGTTAAGAGGGTTAGGACTCAGACTGCAAAGGATTTCCTGATCTGTATTGGCTACTATCAGGAAACATTTGACTCACCCTTTGTGCCCTAAATAAAGTGAAAATCATGACGTCGCTGCCAGCAAAAACAAATAAGTGTCTTCTACAGAAAAATGTCCACACAATTTGCTCATTGAGTGGGGACTACTCTTTCTTCCAACTTCCTTGTATCTCAACATGAGAAACAGAGCTAGGATTGCTATAAACAGCCTGATCCATTGTGCCCCACTCTCCCCAATATGTGGGGTATACATTAGAACTATAATTCCATTTATACATATCAATGTTAACATTAACTCTGCATCCCAAGATGCCTTTAATGCTATATTATAAGTTCATTGTGACTGTTTTCATGATTAAGATTGCTTCTCCTTTTCTCAGGATCGTGCTCATCGGATTGGACAAGAGAAGCAAGTCAGAGTTTTCAGATTCATCACAGATAACACTGTTGAAGAAAGAATAGTGGAGCGAGCAGAAGTGAAGCTACGGTTGGATCGGTTGGTCATTCAGCAGGGTCGTCTAGTTGATAACAAGACTAACTCTCTGAACAAGGACCAGATGCTTAGCATGATCCGTCATGGAGCTGACCACATTTTTGCCTCCAAGTATGTTTCATAGTCACTGTTCTTCCTTTAATTTTTAATGGATAAAAGATAACTTAGGAGCACTTCTTTGAGATCTCTATAAATTATTACAGGGGCTCAGAGATTACTGATGAAAACATTGATGCCATCCTGGAAAGAAGTGAAGTGAAGACTGAAGAATTAAATGCTAAATTGGCCAAATTAGGAGAAAGCTCCCTTAGGAATCTGACACTGGATGCTCCAGAAGGGAACTCAGTATACCAGTTTGAAGGTGAGAGGAATAGACAGAGAGGAAAGAGTCACCCTTTGACTTTTATTCAAATGAAAGATTTTGACAGGTGAGGATTATAGAGAAAAGCAGAAATCTCTCTTGGGCCGATGGATTGAGCCACCAAAGAGAGAGCGAAAGGCCAATTATGCCGTGGATGCTTATTTCCGAGAGGCATTGAGGGTGTCAGAACCCAAAGCTCCTCGAGCTCCTCGACCTCCTCGACAGCCACAAGTTCAGGATTTTCAGTTCTTCCCTCCTCGCCTCTTTGAGCTCCTTGACAAGGAAATACTTCACTATCGCAAGACACTTGGTTACAAAGTATGCATCTTAACAGCATTCATTTGCCTGCTTCCCTCTGCAGAACACAGTGAAAACATAACCTTTACTGGATGTGATGTTAATGTAGGTCCCAAAAAACCCTGATTTGGGGGCAGATGCAGCTCGAGTGCAGAAAGAGGAGCAGACCAAGATTGATGAAGCAGAGCCACTTGCTGAAGAAGAATCTGCAGAAAAGGAAGAACTGCTCCTGCAGGGGTTTACCAGCTGGTCAAAGCGAGATTTTCATCAGTTTGTTAAGGTTTCTGTCTTACCAATTTTGTTTTAAGACTTGGGGTCTTGGATGAGAGAATTTGGATATATAAAGGTTTTAACTTTCCACACAGGCCTGTGAAAGATATGGAAGGAATGATCTGGAGAGTATAGCCAAAGAGGTTGAGGGAAAAACAAGAGAAGAAGTTGAGTCCTATGCTAAAGTCTTCTGGGAAAGATGCCAAGAACTGCAAGATGTAGAAAGGATCTTGGCTCAAATTGAGAAGGGAGAGGCCAAGATTCAGAGGAGAATTTCCATTAAGAAGGCTCTGGATGCAAAGGTGAGGAGATTCACTGTTTGTGATACTAAACAATCTCCATCTGACCTATTGCTTCCAAAAGGTTATCAGGAAGCTTTTCCAGTTCTTCCTCCCCAGGATAGACTCCTCAGAGGGGAAAGTAATATCATCCCTTATATGGTTCTCTCTCACTGCAATGAGCTTGTGCTTTCATAGTGATCATGTAGTTCATGTATAGGCTCACTCCTATCAGGCTTAACATTAAGCATCATGGTTGGTTAGGCACATAATGTTCAGAACTCCTGCAGAATATAAATGAGGAATTGCATGGCTTTTCTGGATACTTTTTCAGAACACAGGAGACCCAATGCTTATGTTGTGCTCCATTTCAATGTCAGAAGATTTTAACATCTGGGCCAAAAATGATTTTATCCAAGCCTTCAACTCTCAATTTAAAAATTGTTTTATGGTGCACAATGAAGAGAGAATTTAAATTCAACTTTTCCATTTTTGCCTGCATTTTTTAGTTCAAATTCTAACCCTAGCCTGATTGACCCAATCAAGTCAAATTATACATCAATTTAGTTCATAATTTTCTTTAAAAAATTTCCACAAAATTTATTGTCTGGTTCTCATTGTGACATGTTAGAGGCAAACAGAGTGAAAATTAGTGAGAAAGTTTTCACATAATGAGTACTAGATTGGTTCTTGATACATGAAGTAATAAACTTTAAAAATAATCCATTTTCATCAGTCACTTCATTGTGTTTTTTTATGCAATGAGATTTGGAATTGTTGGTTCTATGCTATCTAGTAAGGAATGTCACTTATCAAATTTTCTGTCAGAATGGCTAGAATGGTGGGGAGATAAGTATTTAGGATGTTGAGATCATGCCTGAGTGCAATGCAGTGTGGACCTTGGGTTTGCAATCTTAAAATGTGTGAGGTGAAGCATTTATAGAATAGGCAATATTGGCAATTATTGAAATAGATAATTGCTTTGTCCAGATGTCCCGGTATCGAGCTCCTTTCCACCAATTGAGGTTAGCATATGGCGCTAACAAGGGGAAGAATTTCACAGAGGAGGAGGATCGCTTCCTTATTTGCATGCTTCACAAGCTTGGGTTTGACAAGGAAAACGTTTATGAGGAACTTCGGTGTGCCATCAGGTAATCAGTATTCCTGCCATAGAGTTTCTTCCTTTCCTTAGTGTGTTTTTATAACAAATGAGGCTTCTACTGTTTTCCAGAGGTGCTCCTCAGTTTCGCTTTGACTGGTTCATCAAGTCAAGAACAGCTTTGGAACTGCAGCGGCGGTGTAATACACTCATCACATTGATTGAAAGGGAGAATCAAGAACTGGAAGAGAGAGAGCGTGCTGAGAAGAAACGAAAGAGTGGAAAACAAGGAGCCAAAGCAGGAGAGAAAGAGAAAGGTGAGAGTGGGAAAAGGAAAGCAGATTCAGCTCCAGTAAATGCAGCCAGCTCTGGGGAGGGTCGTGGAAGGAAGAAGAAGAAAGTGTGAATATAAGTGAAACTGTGGATACAAAGAACCTCATTCAATTGCATTCATTCCTCTTTTTGTGTTCTTAATGTTCATGTGGAATTCTTTGGAATGAACATGAGAAATGGGATAAGCTGGGCATTCATTCAGTGTCAGCATTACATATGATGGTACTCAATGAAGTATCTATTCACAGGGTTATAGCATCAGAAATCAATCTGGAATTCTGATAGGCGAATGTTCTGCATCTGGTTTCGGGCTATGAAGGTAAGAAAAAAAAAACACAAAACTATCAATGAAAGCCTGTCTACTTGCTGCAGACTAGATGTAAATGAGATGAATTACCTTGAAAGTAGAAAGTGTCAGTAGGACAATCAGGCTGGGGCACAAAAGGAGCTGGAGACTCTAGAAGATGATCCCAGGCTATGCCTGCATGAAGCCAGAAGGGATGAACTTTGATGTCTTCACTGGAAGCTCTCCGCGATGGATCGTGGTTCAGCAGATTTAAGACAGCATCTCTGGCAGTGTCTGAAACTGCCTCTTCTTCTTCTGGCCATTCCAGTCCTCAAGAAAATAACAAAAACAACTTTTCTTTTATTACATGTTCTTAATTTCTTAACATCTGCCACACTGTGTATAACTGACAGATTTGCATCTACAAGGGTACTGGTATGCATTTGAAATGTGTGTGGAACATTTCAAGGGATACCACACCATAAAAAATTACTAGATAGGACTAATGAACAACATGTACATGAAAGTTTTTTGAAAAATTTGATGGCAAATACAGGGTGAGACAAAAGTCCTGTACACTCAGTTTTTTCAACTTTTGTAAAATTTATTAAACAGCTAACAAATAGGGACAACACTATTAGAAACTACAACTATTTCAACATTTAATACTGGGGAAATTACTCAAAACAGCAACCTTTTGCTTTCACACCATTGCAAAGTCTTATTGGAAAAGCATCAGTTGTGGCACACAATATTTCTTTGGAAGTTTTGAGCCATTCTGTTTGAAGGACAAGCTTCAGGGACTCGATTAATGCATGTGTAGTAGCGCAGGCTTTGTTTCCCAAGATGCCCCACATGGGAAAGTCCAACAGGTTTAGGTCGGGACTATACGGGGGCCAATCTGCTTAGGTGATGAAGTCAAGGAATTCTTTGCAGAAGGCCTAAGTGGTCTTTGCCTTGTGGACTGATGCATCTAAGACTGATCTCTAAGTGCTGTTGGGGCAGGGCTTTATTGTACCCACCAGGATGAGGTCATGGTAGACAATCTCATTAATCTTTATGCCAAAAGACACAAAAACCAGTGGCATGTGCCTCTCTGCAGTGTTACCTGTCAGCACCATCGCAGAAGTTGGCATCTGAGTGCAAGTAACAAAACAGAGGTCTGAAGAGATACCTGATGACTGCTGCCAACACCCAGTCATTTTGAGAGTTATAGGATTGCTTGACTGTGAAGAGATTCTCATCAGAAAAGTGGATATAGCAATGACTGCCATCCATGAACCGATGTAGCAACTGTGATTGCTGCAGCCTAGTCTTCCTCACTTGTTTTGTGGGAAATTGGGAATTATGGAGTTTGAAAGGCAGGAGATTCAACTTGCTCTTGACCATTTGCTGGAGCAATTCACAGTTCATCTTTGTTATTAGGGCCATTCCTCTATATAGCTTTTGATTTCTACAAAGTTGAGATTGGACTCTTTCAATGTTGGTAGTGGTTGACCTGATTGATGACAATCCTTGGTAAAGTTTGTCTCAAGGAATTGCTTGATCATATGTTTGATGAAATTCTGGTTGTAGCCATTGTTCTGGAGCAGCCGGAAGATCTCAGAGGGAGACTTCCTAGATTCGTGCAAACTAATGACAGCAGACCAACAAACTTGATTGGATGAAATCATGATGAAACTAATAGGGGTTCACAAACTGTTGATTGACTAAGTACCTTGTACCTTAAGCTTCATATAGAGACCAAACTGAACATTTTTGAACATGCTAATGCAGAACCTTCAGCAATTCCTTAAAATGTACAGAACTTTTGTGTCACCCTGTATATTAGACTAGCCTAGACTAGAAGGGGAAAAGTCACTGGATACAAATGGGTTAAAATCTAGGTGCACCTCTGATTGTCCAATGGTAAATGTCTGCATTACACCTCCAATAATTTATCACCTCTTTATCTTAGGCTCAGTTCAAGTCAAGCATGAAAGGTGCAGCATGGGCTTGGTACCCCTTGTGAGACTGTTGGTAGTGCAACAAAGTGGAACTTATTTAATTTGAAACCCCCCCCCCCCCCTTTTCTTCTTTCATTCTCCATTTAGTGTCCAGTGATTGGCAGAAATATCAATGGAAATCTAGGAACCTATCAGACACCACTGCTTTCATCAATCCATCAGACAAGTTATAAGCTTGAGATGGACCCAGTCATTGGCAAATAGGAGTTCTAAAAATTAGGTGAAATAAGAACTTATTCAAAGAGTTATCAGTCTGCACCAATATGGTGGTGCAGCAAGAGTTATAAAGTAGACCTTAAGAACCTAAAATATTTTTAACAAGTAAAACTCCAAAAAATTAGTACATTTCTTTCCTTTTCCAAGGATACTCAGGCCACCAAATTTCATCCATGAGAACCAGTACTTTCCTGGTCCTGAAAGTATGAGGTGGGGGATCTTCTGATAACCAAGAACAGTTTACTCCAGAGTACTGGATGCCTCTGGTGTTGGTGTAATATTATGTTGACATCCTCAAAATGTTAGAATATCCATGCCTGGTAGAGGGTTAGTCATTTTATCTCAAATATAAAAGAGTTAAACAGATCAATGCAGAATTGTCCTGTGCCATTTCTGATTTCAGGAACTCCTTTGCAAGGGATATGTGGCACCCAGTGCAAATGACTAAGCAAATTTGAAAGGACAAGGTGCCAATGGACTAATCTCACTCAGTGGGTGTCTTTCAGTCTTGTCAGTCTTTCCAGGGATATTTTTGTGTTACTTACATGAGGCTAGGACAGGCAAGTGTTAGACTCCTACACTTGTTGACAACATGGGGAACAAAAATTATACAGGGTGCGGCAAAATTACAGGAACACGACTTCCTTACCAAACATTTTTAAAGTTTTCATCGACCGTGCCGTGGACGACTTTCCACGTCGACTGCAAGTGTTAATCGATGCAATAGGAGGTCATTTTGAGTAGACTATATTGGGCTGAGGCGGAATGAAGATATTTACTGAGTGATTGGTCTTTTCACCGTGGTTGGGGGTCGTGTTCCCATAATTTTGCCGCACCCTGTATACTCAGTATAGAGGAATATACCATGTAGGCTTTACTTACACAGAAGGTCATGAACAGTGTGACCTGTTCCCCCTTTTGGTTCTTAATATACAAGTGCAATATGCCATCAACAAAGTATGCATACACTGGGGAAAAAAATATATCAAAATACTTTTGAACTACATATCTCCCCTCACACCAGAGCTATTTTCTCTAAACATTCACTATGTATTGGGTTGGAAAGAAAGTCTTGCAACACTTTCTAAAACTATTTATTAAAATTTTCAAAGGAATGATGGCTTTGCATTTGTATATGCTGGAATGTTCTCGAAGCTTCTGCCCTCGGGGTATATAAGGCGGTTTCTGCCATTAGTTGGCAGTCATGGCTCCGATCAAACAAGCAATTCTTCGCCCCANCTATTTATTAAAATTTTCAAAGGAATGATGGCTTTGCATTTGTATATGCTGGAATGTTCTCGAAGCTTCTGCCCTCGGGGTATATAAGGCGGTTTCTGCCATTAGTTGGCAGTCATGGCTCCGATCAAACAAGCAATTCTTCGCCCCATCGTCTACTACGAGTTCCTCCAAGGACACTCTGCAAGAGCTACCGCAGACAACATCTGCGCTGCATTCAAGGGCAACGTCGTTCACTATTCCACAGTGTCTCGATGGTTCAAACGCTTGGAATCTGGCGACATGACCTTCGGAGATCGACCGTGCTCAGGACGTCCATCTACAGTCGATGACGAAGCCCTGCGGAACGCCCTCAACGTGAAGCCGAACACCACCACTCGTGAATTGGCGACTACACTTGGAGTCACCCATATGGCCATCGGCAACCATCTGAACGACCTCG